TCGTGGGCCACAAGCACTGCTGCCATGCTGCCTCCTTCATATAAGTAAATCTTGATACTAGTGATGACGGGTAATGCAAGACCTACAATACATCATCGCTATATATATGACTCATGCGTGCTACAGCCCACTTAACGTCAAGGGTGCGCGCGCCCGCAACAAGACTATCACCAATCAAAACGGCTCAGGATCGTCATTCACAATTCTCCGCCCGGCGCGGGCACTCAGGCGTGTACAGGGGGGGGGGTGCCAGGGGGTCTTGGTCCTCCTCCCCCCCCCTGCTCGCGCAGAAAACGCATCTGAGGGGGGCATTCATTTCAAAAATTTGATTCAGGGGAGGGCCCAGACCGCCCCCCTTCGCCGTGTCGAACAGGGTTTCGCATGTTTGTGTAACGGTTAGGGACCCCCCCCTCGTACAAATGCCTATACACGCCCCCTGATTCTTTTACCCCACCGTTGCCTAGCCTGCGTGATCATCCCGGTGTCAGGGTACCTCCTCTTTTAGCTCGCTCTCTTCTCTCTCTCGTGTTCGTTCTCTGATTCTCTCTCTCTCTTCTCCTCTCTCTTGCTAGTCTCTCTCTCTCTCTCCTCTCTCTCTCTCTCTTTCTCTGTCCTCTCCTCTCTCTCTATTTCTCTCTCTCCCTCTCTCTCCTGAGTTCTCTTTCTTCTTTTCTCCTCTCGTGACTCTCCTTCTCAGTGCTTTCTCTCTCTGCTCCTCTCTCCCTCTCTCATCCCTCTCTCTCTCTCTCTCTCTCTCTCTCTCTCTCGCTTCTCTCTCTCTCTCATCTCTCAATCTCCTGTTTCTCTCTCTGTTTTCTCTCTCTCTCTCTCTCTTCTCTCTCTCTCTCTCTCTCTCATCTCATCTCTCTCTCCTCTCTCTCTTTCTCTCTCTCGTCTCCTCTCTCTCTCTCTGTTTCTCTCTCTCTCTCTCTTTCTCTCTCTTTTCTCTCTCTCTCTCTCTCTCTCTCTCTCTCTCTCTCTCTCTCTCTCTCCTCTCGCGCTCTCTCTCTATCCCGCACCTCTCTTTCTCTCTCTCTCTCTCTCCCTCTCGCGCTCTCTCTCTATCCCGCACCTCTCTTTCGTTAGCGCGTTAGTTGCCCCTACATTGCAGCACAGCAAACTCGAGAGTAAACTGGTAGCACATGTCTGTGGGTTTTAATACAGGGCATGCAGGCAGGCAAGGCAGGCTGTACACGCACGAGGTGCATGTACTCCCTGCACAGCACAGCGGCCGTAACTCTGTGAGAGAGACTCGGCGTGGCCTCGCCTGCCCCGTGCCTCCATAGTTCTAATCATTCTGTAATGACTTATGTATGAGAGTGCATGCACGCGTGCAGCCAACCAGCCAGCCCCCACTCTCAGCTGGTCAGGCACGAACGCTAGCTGTACCGGTAGTACTGGAGTGGCAATCGGGTTTTAGTCATTAGTCGTTCTAATCAATCAGCAGGTTTAGGTTAGTACGTGGGGTGTGCCCCACGCTGGGTTTTCTTCGGTGGGTCGGGAGTGCCAAGGCATTACTCACAGTTGGGTTAGGGTTAGGGTTAGGGTTAGGGTTATAATTATAGCCCTCGCTCTGCCACAGGCAGAGGTTTGTGGCAAAACGAAGGACTACAGCTAGGATAGGTGGTACGGTTAGTATTAGGGGTATCGTTGTCTGACCTGTACATGTACTGTTAGTAGTAAAGGCGGGGGTATGGATGCCTAGTTCTACCCCCTACAGTAGTGAGGGTTTTGTCGTGATGCAATATAATAAATAAATGATAGTCAACACTTGGGTTAGGATTGCGATCCTATTGTTTTCAGTGTATAGGTACTTGATAGGTAGGTGATTGGTCAGCTTAGTACCAGTGTTTCCCTTGGCCAAAAAGGTCTGTAAGCCAGTAAGGTCGTAATTTTGTTGGTGTGTTTGTGTGTTTCGAGGTCCTAGCAAAGCGAAGAGTGCGGGTGCTCGCCCAGCTAGGGGGGCATGCTCCCACGGAAATCTTTTGAAGAAATGGTGAAATTTGGTGCATTCTAAGCTATATTTCGATTTTAGTTCAATCAAGTGTAGTTTATTGATGGATGAACAGTGATTTTTCGTCAGTGAGGCGGTGTTTTGGCGGTGTACGCGGGCTATAGTCCTATAGCTACCTGCTAGTATGATATCAGGAGTAGATAATAGGGGATTCCCTATTATCTACTCCTGATGATATCCACACCAAATATCCCCATGGATCACATATCTCCACCAACCATACACCTCCACCACCATTCGCCATACGTCCCTGCAAATTCTCCTGTTTAGTATCCACACCAAATATCCCCACCACACATCTCAACCAAGTCTCTCTCATTAATATTATTATCCTACCAAATATTCCCACCCTCGTGTTGTGGAAGTGGGCGAGTAGGTGTAAATCTAGGTAGAACTAGGCCTTTGTGTGTTTCTTCTCACACATTACCTTGACGGTTTATGTGCTCTTGTCACTCTAACTCCCAAATCATCTCCTAACTAGGCTTGCATGAACAGCTTAATCCCCTCTCTAGGGGCACTGTACTTGGGTACTTGTTAGTGTATTCAGGTGTATTATATTTAATCTTGCGCAGTTAACAATGTAAAATGCACAATGTATTACCATAGGTAGGGTTTTCCAATGTGCAGTTCGCACTAGGGGGCCTATTATTTTTAGTGAGAACGCACATGGGGTAATACCGGCATATATAGTGACCCCCCCCCCCGGGGGTTAAGATCGCACACATATATACTGATCGGTTTTATCAGTACATGCTGAATCGAGTTTTGTGCCGGAAAAATTTCATTTTGCAAGCCTCGTATTTTTACCATTAGGTCGCCCGATTGATTCCACCATGAAGCCGACAAACGTCTGAAATGTCTCAGCTCTTCTTCGTTGACAGTCGACGAAGACTTTGCGGTGCCAGAATTCGCGCTGGAACAGAGGCTCCTCCTGGTGGCATACCTGCATGTTGCCCTTATGGCTAATGTTGTTTTCGTACACCTAGAAGACAGGGTTAGAGATTTACATGCATTCAACATTGCATGATGATGCTGTGACACACACACACACACACCCACACACACCGTCACACGTACTGTACATGTAAAAATGCTAAATGCACAAGTGACAGTCACAATGTACGTGTGAATATATCGATATATTTGCACTCAATTTTAACTACCGTAATTAGTATTGCTATTGATTGAGAGTGTACGAAACGTAAAGGGAATCTTTAGAATTGCATACCATTAACAAGAGTGATAATTAACCGAGTACTTACATAGCAAATGTTGTTCTATAATCTAGGCCATCTTCGTGTACATACTAGGTCTAGAGTAAACTGGTGATGACGTCATTATCAACCCAACTTCTCGCTCGGCAAGTGGCGCCTCAAGTGGTGACAAAAGCAAACATTTAGTTGGAGCATGCGTAGTAAGATAACTCAGGTGAAAGGCAGTGGCCGTTGTTGGTGTTTGAGAATGTGCTATGACTTCCTGATAATATTCTGTAATATATTGTGAACTGTTGATATCAGTGCCGTCCACGGATTACCTGGCGTGTTGTGCAATGTTCCTCTGTGTATATGGGTTGGAATAGCGAAGACAAAACTGGGAAAATGGCGAGGGAAGCAGAACTACAGGAGTTGCAAATGCTCATCAAGAACTGGAATGCAAACCGCTATGACATGTTTGAGATTTCACCGCCGAGTGAGGTAATTACGTGCTTATGCATTAATTTATACCCATCAAAATTCACTTTGAGGTGTGCCGACTAATTAATATTAGCTAAAGTAATGGTGTGTGCATTGTATGGTTGGGGTTTTCGCAATGGGAGAAAGTTGTTTTGGGACAGAAGTTTTTTAAACATGGCGGGTGTGGTCAATGTAATTGGATAGGTGAGAATCCAGGTGAGACAAGATATCTCAACATGTCATTGTTTGTGTTTACGAGGAAAATCTATTCACGTTACTCTTTTTGAATGCAATGTGAACACGCGGGGCATGATTAGGGACATATTTATTGGACTATACGCGTATAGTTCACGCGATTTTTAAGATCCATTATAATTTTACATGTATATATATGTATGTCACTGTGTATAACTATAAATATAATGCTCCAAATCGCTATTATTTGGGTAGCATTATGCGTATCGACCTACTTTGGACTGCACACATTGATAACATTTGGAAGAAATTAATCATCGTTCTTTGGGTCTTTATTGGCGTTGCAGCCTTAATTTCTCTTTGGTCGATTAAAAAATTCGTCTCTGGCTTTTAAATCAGTGGCTCTCCCCACATTAGAATATGCTTCGTGCGGCTGCCCCCTATCTCTAGTACTATAGCCACGATTGTTTTTTTCCTTGTTTGATGAAATCAGTTCGTTGTATTCGTTCGTGTACATGGGCACCAGCCTCTGAGCACTACTTTCACCGTACATCATACATGTGTCGTCTTCCTATATGATCCGTTTAAATTTCTTTCATTATGTACTGTGGAACTCTCTTCCTTTTAAACAGGTAGCCTACCGGTTAAAACAAGTACCCTTTACTACTGCTGAAGGGGACGTTATCGTATCAGGTACTCGCATAATAACTGTAACCCGTAGCGTACAATATATGTACTACACAACAGTGTACCCGAGACTTGGTACTAGGCAAGAAGTGTACCGCCCTAAACCCTGAACCTAAAGCAATACCTCATACTAAAATATAAACAATCTGAATGCTACAAACAACCTAAAACCGAATCATCCAGGGTACAGTATTGTAGTACCTGGTAAGTGGTACGGGTATACAACGAAACCCTTCGTGCCTTACTGCTCTTGCGATAAGCAGTTGTTAAATCAGTGTTAAATCAATATTAGATTCGTAAGGGACGCTATCGGTAAGACTTGAGGAATGTTCGCTGTGCAGGTTATAGTAAATGAACCTCGCAACACGACACACACAGCAACACACAACCACACACACATCTCACACACAGCACGCACACACAGCACACCGGAGCCGACTGGCACACCAGGGGGGCACACACACAGAGACAGGCCACACCACGCACACGGCAACGCCACGCAAACACGATCACGCCGGCCACGCACGCACGCGAGCGCACGCACGCCACACACACACTGGGGACACGCCACACGCACGCACCGCACGCCACGCACAACAACCAACACATCACAGCCACCCACACACCACAATCTTCTGCACCACAGCAACACGATGACCGACACACAGTGTCACACCACACACACCACAGTCACCAGGCTCGCGCACACACAACACACACACGAAACACACACGCACCACTACACACACACACACACACAGGCACACACACCTGGCACAGCCAACAAAACACACACACACACACACACACACACACACACACACAGCGACACACACACACACACACACAGACCACACAGACAACACAGAGAGCAGAGAGATAGAGCAAGAGAGGAGGGAGAGACAAGAAGAAGAGAGAGAGAGAGAGAGAGAGAAGATAGCAAGAACGGAAGAAAGACAAGAGAGAGAGACAGAGACAGAGACAGCGAGACAGAGACAGACGACAGAGACGAGAACAGAGACAGGAGACAGAAGACAGGCGCGAGACAGAGACAGAGAACCAGAAGAGAGAGAAGAAGCACCAAGATGTTCATCATGGATGTGTTGATGACATCAGGATTAAATAATCATAAATTTATACGATTATTTATTCACGCATTTTTGTGATTGTTTGCTCATGATGGCATGGCATTATGAACTGTTGTGTCTTATCAAGAGTAGAGAGTGTTATTATCTACTCTTGGTCTTATCTATGGCTGGGTCTAGCTCCGTTTCTCCACCGTGTTCTATACGTGATCATGTGTACACAGGCGCACGTCGTATTAAATTCCATGAATAAATGATCTGGAATCGATTCTGTTAAGATGTGATCAATTTCCCTTCGTAAAGTCAACGTGAGCACGTCTAATATTTTTTATGAGAACGCGATATATATATAATAAAAATAATAATAATAAAATTAAGAATGTTCTGTCAGGTATGGTGTTTTGTGTTGTGTCCTCGTGTGTGTGTGTGTGTGTGTGTGTGTGTGTTGTGTGTGTGGTGGTGTGTGTGTGTGTGTGTGTGTAGGTGTGTGTGTGTGCGTGTGTTGGTTGTGCGTGTCGTGTGGCGTGTGGCGGTGTGCCGTGTGCGTGTCGTGTGTAGTGGTGTTGTGTGTGTGTGTGACTGTGCGTGTGCGGTCCTGCGTGTGCGTGTGCGTGTGCGTGGTGCGTAGGTCTCGTGGTGTGTGTGTGTGTGGTTGAGTGTGTGCGTGCGTGCGTGCGTGCGTGCGTGCGTGCGTGCGTGCGTGCGTGCGTGTCCACAAGCACTGCTGCCATCTGCTCCTTCATCTATAAATTTGATATAGTGATGACGGTAATGAAAGAGCTACAATACATCATCGCTATATATATGACTCATGCGTGCTACAGCCCACACGTCAACCCAACAACATCACCAACAAAAGCTCAATCGTCATCACATTCTCAGGGGCGTGTACAGGGGGGGGGTCCAGGGGGTCTGGACCTCCTCCCCCCCCCCTGCTCGCGCAGA